AGAGCCTCTCTTCTCGCGGCCCACCTCTCTTCTCGTTCCTCCTGTTCTCTCTGAAGCATTAGAATAATCAGAAAAAAATGTTCAATTTTTAATCTCTACTAATAAAAAAATCCAAACCTCATTATTATCCTAATATACATATTTTTTTTTTTAACACTAATCTGAGCGTTTTTTATAAAAAGGATGTCCATTCTATTTGAACTAATAATAATCGTACCCTGGGCAGTTAATTATATTAACGAACCTTGAAGTCTTCCTTTTCCTTGATAAGAGCAGCCTTCTGCTGTTCCAGCTCTTCAAGCGCACGGAGATCTTCGCTCGAATTTAAAAGGTTATCGCTAGAGGACGAAGCATGCAAATCCGAGACACTCCAACTCAAGAGAGACAATCTTGAAAGATTGACGACCGTGGATTGTAAGTTACCGTTACCCGTTCCACCTTCCTTTCTTAGTTTCGCCGCTTCAGCTGGATCGTTATATCGGAACATATTGTTCCTGCCAAGAAGTATAATACAGCCTTGCGACAGCCGTGTCGGCTTATCCACTTGGGCAGTGTTGATCCAGCAGTGGGGAGAAAGGGGATGAAGGGTCGCCACGCCGCTATCTAACTCTACCACACAGTGTTCTGGCTCGACGTCAGCACCAGTTAATACGATATCCTGTTCATAGAGTAGTACATTATAATATTATAATACTTTCAAACAACAAATATAATTGTAATATAAATTTTAACAAAAATTCTCGGAATTTGAGTTTAACCTGTTAACACCTCTTAAATAGGTGTCAACTAATGACGAGTTAGCTCGTCTTCCTCAATTAACAGGTTAATAATTTATTGTGGTAGAATAGAAGATAATAAAAAAAAAAAGTATGATGCCTTCTTAAGTTGGCAACCTTGCTGAATGATTTAAAATTTGTTTAAATTAAAGGTTTTTGCAACCTGAATTCAGGAACTTTTGTTACCATTACAATTGAAAAGATTGAAAAGGATAAATAGAATTAATACCTGCGTGGTCGGTGCTTCTTCTGTTCCCACTAACGTTCTACCCTCTTTCAGGTGGTAGAGCGTAACTCCAGTACTAAGAAGATCATCGTCAATTCCTACTAAATGTGGCATTTCTGAATCTAGGACTACGCCAACACCACTTTTCCGGAGACCTAACGCTTTCTGTTCTTGGAGGATTTGTTGCGTTTCTCGCCACTTTTCAGTCCATTCTTCCGTCAACACTTTCTCCTGCTCTTGTTTCTCATGGATCTGAGCTAACAATACCTGCGGTGGTCTTTCAACACTCTGCAATAATGAGGTAGATTTCTACTTTTAACACATAATACTTTTTTTTACTAATTAATGAACAACGTATGCCTTTTGATACTTGCCATATCCTTTCCAATCAGAGATTTCAACTTTTGTATTTCTTCCCTGAGTTCCCTGATCAATTTCACGTTTGGATCCTCATTGATAGTTGGCTTATTAATGATATTTTTCGCTCGGTTAGCATACCTGAGCGTACTGAGAGTCTCGCCGTAATTACAATCAGCCGGACTAATAGCAGCGATCATAATCGTCTTAGAATTACCACCGAGCGAGTCTTTTAGCAACCACGTCAGCACACTGTCTCGGTAAGGTATGAAGACGCTACGTTTAGAGGAAGAAGACGCGTCACCCGTGGAACTCAGTTCCGCGAGCGCCGATATCACAGAACCTAAAGTCACCAGTGACTTATTGATGTGCGCACCCTCTTTCAGTCGTTGGCCTGTCGCGCCCGTTGCATTCGCACGTTCGCTAAAAACATACACAGACAAATATATGTAAACTTACATCTTTATTACAATTATGTTACACATACATTTTGATTCATTCAAAGTTGTGGGCAAGAAATTCAAGTACACTATCGTAGTTCCCATACTTATACATTTATAGGAAAATCAAGTTAAATGTATAATTTAACAAAATTTCGAAGATAAAGATTTTTTTGTTTAAAAAAAAAAAAAGAAGAAATTATCTCGCCTTTTTTAGGATACATTTCTTACATTTAAATAACACCATTAATTTAACTATTTTCTTAACAATTCAAACATAAATTTTTGTCTACATTAAAAAGACATGTGCATGTGTGAACCAGTTCAAAATGTCCTGAATCATATGTGATTCACTGAACAGAGAATGTGATAATTATTTAAGGTAATAGTAATAGAAACATAACATTTAAATTCCATCGAGGTTTCAAGCTATTATCATAAATCATAATCTACAGAAGAAAATATCAAGAATGGTCGACTAACAGCTTCAACGTCGCTTTCAATGAACTTCTTGCCCGCATCTTGTGTTCTATGAACGAGTCAGATGAAAAATTATCCTTAGACACTGGTGTCTCGACTACCTTCCGGCCAAGTCGACAAGATGCACCTTGGAAACGGTCTCCGATGGCATATTGCCTTCAGAAAGTCCAGCTTGCACAAACGTAATGGTAAAAATCGCGTGACTCCTACTGCTCACGTCGTTCATATTTGTGCTCGCCGTAGTTCTGTGCGTATTACCTCTCACCATTAACTCTTTATTTAAAAACGTCTCTCCCACGAGTGTTGCGGCGGAACGAGCCGGAAGCAAGGAGTTCATTTACCTGGATGTCTGAATAATCGTACACGAGGTGGCTCGACAGGTCTTGGACATAAGGCCCTCTTTTAGGATGCTCCCGTACTCTGAGAGAATGAGACTGTGACTGGTCCAGTCGCAGCAGGTCCCTCACTCTCTCATTGTGTATCTCCAGGAAGGATACCTCAGTTCTATAAGACGCTCCGCTTTCTTTACCTGCTGCCATTCTGGCGAACAGCGTCTTACAAATTCTTGGTATCAATCCCTGGGCCTCCTGGATACGAGAAAATAAGTTAGAAATCACAGAATAGAATCGGTACACGCTGTATATTTTCAGTGAAGAAAAAATCGTAGAAATCGTTGTAACAGCAAGTAGTGAAAGTACTGGCAAATATTTCGCAATAACGTAATAAATTTTTCTACTTGATACACTTGTTGAAGAGGTAACAGGCGATCGAACAACGGATGAGCATGCAAGCGTGATAACATTTTCAAGGAAATGCTAAAT